TAGCATTTTCTGCTGAGAGGTCATTGTATATATAGATTTTGAGTAAATTGCTTAAATAGTTACTAACTTTTCGAAACTTTCGTATTTCTGTAAATTACCGTTACATGGGAGGTGGGCGTGGTTCTTCTCTGATTTAAAAAATTTTCAAAGGATTTTTTAGTGAGGCACTAAGCAATGTTCGTACCGAGTTGGTTGGGGATTGGTGAAGGTACTGCAGAGATACAGCATTTCACTGTAAGTGGGCGGTGCCACGCCTATTTTTAAAAACAATTCATAACTATCTTATTTTATGCCAAAATTCTACTTCGCGTACCAACTTTCAACAATTTGGATCCAGTATTTACGGAAATATCGTAGTTTTTGCATATTTCGAAAATACCGTTATATGGGAGGTGGGCGCTGTTATTGTCCAATGTCGCCCCTTTTCAATCCCAACCTACCTTGGATAAAGGGAAACTTACTTACAAAATTTCGTGGAAATATCTTAATTTTTTCTCGAGTTATCGTGTACACGGACAGACAGACGGACGGACGGACAGACATGGCTTAATCGATTTCTCTTTTCATTCTGAGCATTGACGTATACATTTGTCTATATCTATCTCGCAAACAAAGTTATAATACCCTTGTGCACAAGTGCGCTCGGGTATAAAAATATAGAAAAAACTGAACAAAAATAAATCTATATATTTCGTCACACACGGAACGCTAAATATCCGTGCTCTTAAATAGATTCCTGCTTTCCACCCCGTTGTTGCTTAATTTTCCTGATGTTTGTTAAAACTCCCATCTGAAAATCCATCAATTCTTCTTCGCTCATATCTCGTATATATGGTTGAAAAGACAATAGTATCAACTCATGGNAAAGTTATAATACCCTTGTGCACAAGTGCGCTCGGGTATAAAAATACAGAAAAAACTGAACAAAAATAAATCTATATATTTCGTCACACACGGAACGCTAAATATCCGTGCTCTTAAATAGATTCCTGCCTTCCACCCCGTTGTTGCTTAATTTTCCTGATGTTTGTTAAAACTCCCATCTGAAAATCCATCAATTCTTCTTCACTCATATCTCGTATATATGGTTGAAAAGACAATAGTATCAACTCATGATCGGGTTGAGACTTATTTGAGTATTGCTCAACACATCGCTTTCCTCTTTTCAATTTCCTTCCTACTTCTTGCTCTATATCATCGTCCAACTGTCTTTTCCATTGATGTAAGTTTGAAGCAGACTGCGGTGGCGACAGTGGATCACATAATCCTTCCAAATCACACCTATCATATTCAGTTTCATCCTGACTGAAACTGCTCCCAACATCATCTTTGTCATCTTGTTTCGATTTCAATAAAAACTGGAGATGCTCGCTGTATATATAGCTTCGCTTTAGTCCTTGATAACGGTTTTTCCTCGAAGATCTTATAAATGAGTCCCTTACATTTGACCATTTGGCAAGAATGACATCACCTGATAAGTAATAAAATAAATAAAATAATAAATCGCTTTTTGTTTGACAAAATATAGATCCCCAGGGAAGTTCAGAATATATTGCGCTGGTACATCCACTCGGAGCAAATATGTCTGCGCCTAAAGGAATTTTGTCTAAATAAGTAGTTTGATTAAATATATTACAAGATTCATAGAAGTCTCTAAACCAATTCAGCTCCATATAAACTCCCAGTGGATGTTATTATCAGAAAGGCCATTGAATCTCAGCCTTAAAATAGAATTTCTGGCCCAAGACTTTGTACTAGGATATAATGATAAGCTAAAGAGGTGGAGTATATTCGATTAATAATGTCCACGATTTAGCTTTCCCTGATTCCATATATACACATTTAATGTTGCTTTTTCTAAGATATTTGCCTNACGATTTAGCTTTCCCTGATTCCATATATACACATTTGATGTTGCTTTTTCTAAGATATTTGCCNAGCTAAAGAGGTGGAGTATATTCGATTAATAATGTCCACGATTTAGCTTTCCCTGATTCCATATATACACATTTAATGTTGCTTTTTCTAAGATATTTGCCTTTTTTTGCCTATTTTACCTTTAAAAAGTTATTATAGGGAGGAAAAAGCCTCTTATCCTGATAATATAAAAGCTTCAAACGTTCCATATTTAAATTGGGTGCCACATGTATCAACTCACGTGGAACGCACGGTTAATACATCCAAGGCTGAATTAAAGCCTGTTCCGTTACAATGAAGGAAATCGATAGATAAATACATAAGTTATAAGTTATAAGTGGTCGTATGAAAATGCGCAAAGATTTTTTGTATAAACAATTATACACCTGAAAATACTTCGAAAACGTATCCATATAATAAAAAATTAACTCGACTTTCGGAATCAGTGAGAAATCTATATAANTTATAAGTGGTCGTATGAAAATGCGCAAAGATTTTTTGTATAAACAATTAACAGGAAAGAATGTTACTCATTCGCCGTATACACCTGAAAATACTTCGAAAACGTATCCATATAATAAAAAATTAACTCGACTTTCGGAATCAGTGAGAAATCTATATAAGAATTGGATATGTAGCGGGGTCCGTTGAACATTTTTCCTTTAAAACCAGTGTTGTTTTTAAGTTCTTGTCATTCTTTAGTGCCTTCTTTTGCCTTTTTTGCTATTTCTAGTGCCTTTTCCTGCCTATTTCGCTATTTTATTTTGTCTTTTTTGTAGGTTTTGAGGTCCTAAAAATCCATTCCCTGTCCATAAGTATTTACATAAGACTTCTTGTAATGTCGTATAAAATCAATAACAATGAAAATGAAAAAGCAAATTTAAAAGAAGTGAATATTTCATAAAATTATTGAACTTTTCTCCTGTAATTTTAAGTAGAATGTGTCACACTAATATAATAAAGTATGTAAGTTTGTACCATAATCACACTTACCTAATTTTTTCTTTTCTATTTGATCCATTTGCTCATACTTCTCTTCCAAACTAGAAAATACTTCCTGCCAACTTTGTTCTCGAATTTGTTTGTTTTTATAATGTTCATTGCCCTTATCCCAAATACAGGGCTTCGATTCCACGAGTTTAATTAATGCTGTGATTTCATATTTGAAAGACGGCATTTTTTTGATTTGCTTTACAAAAAAAAAAACTACCCTCAAACATTTACTCCTATCGAAAAAAAACACTAATTAACTGTCGGCGACAGAAGCGGTACGACTGCCGCTCTCCGACGCGTTATCGCTACTAACGACACGACACCGGCAAGTCGGTGTTGTGCGAACTTGCTGGTTTATTCTGAACATGCATATATGCAAACACATACATACGTGTGTATGATTTATGTATTATACATGTTTGTATATGAATTAGGGCTGTGCGATTAATTGATTACTCAAAAGTTCAGTTACTCGAGTAATCAAGATTTTTATTAACCAAAAACAAAAATATTTGAGTAAGTTGCTTTATGATTAATCAACATTTCGAGTAAAATGAGTAATCAACATTTCAACTCTTTACATATGTATAAAGTAGTTAAATTCCTTGATACTTTGAAAACAACGTTTCTGTTTTCAAAAATTAAAAAAAAAATTTTTTTCATATACAGAATATAAAAAAGAAAATAAGCATTTTCCAAAGCAAACTCTTTTAACGAGCAAAATTATTTTTTTTGAGTAATCATAGTTCAAGTAACTCGATTAATCATCGTTTTGAGTAATCAAAATCTTGATTACTCGAGTAATTGATTAATCGAATAATTGATTAACCAACTTGCTCGAGTAATCGAATAATCGCACAGCCCTAATATGAATACACCTAGCTACGAGTACACGACGACGATATCATTGTCGTTTGCCTTGCCGTGCCGGCACACAGTGGGAAATATCGTACATCGTAGGTACCTGGGACGAATAAAATGCAAATTTCAGACTCTACCTTATATTATAAAACAAATGCACCTAAATGAAAAAGACTGTACCTAAAAAAGTTCGTTTGTAGTTTTTTTTTTATTATTTTTATTAACATAAAATATGAATACAAAAGATGGATGTCCTTTAAGCTTGATAAGTTTTTTTTTTAACTGAGCTTACATCTAGTGTAGTGGCAATCGGAAAAACTTTTTCTTTGTCTTATTTTGACCACTGCAGCATATCGGCGAAAAAGACATTTTACTTTAAATTTCAAATATATAAATATAACAAGAATTACGAATTTGGGTATAGCTAACACATGATTTACATGATTCAAGTACTTGAAAGCGATTCTTGTTCATTCTCTTTTGCGTTTTCTATTTGTTTTTACATGGTTCAACTCTGTTGAATTCAAGTTTTTAGTTCTGTAAATGGGAAATAACGAAACTGTCGTAAGCAAAGCAGGATACTTGAATAAAATAAAATAATAATTAATAAAAATCTGTGTTCATATGGTATAGTAGCTTATGTCGGAAGGCTGGCTTGAGTATAATGCTGCATTCGCAGCGTACGATTGCGAATGACTCACTGGCGCCGAGCAGTTGAAGAACTTTTGGCAAATAAACGTGCAGAAATAGTTCCGATACTATTAACTCTCACCTAGAAATTCCTTGTCGTTTAAAGAATAAAGGGAATGCTGCATTAAACCTCCCCCCCCCCCCTCAAGTCAAAGAATAATATTTTACTACTATGGGTCTAGAACAAAGGCTCTTTAGAAGAAAGTATGCGTAATAAAGTTGCAAACACGAATTTTTAAAATCATATATTCAATTTTTCTCTTTATTTATAAAATATTTTTCACTTATAAATCAATGAAACGAAGAATTTTAAAATTTTTCGTGTTTTTTTTTAAAATTCTTCTAGAACTTCGTCAACTGAAAAATGTATATCTTTGTGAATTTTCATAGATGCTAGACCGTTGAGCCTTTCTTGACATGTTGTATTTCTCAAGTAGGTTTTAATTCTTTCCAGGCATGAAAAGCTTCGTTCAGGTATGGCTATTGAAACGGGCAAAAGTGCCAATATACGTAAGATCTTAAAAACCTTCCCAAAAGACGTTGTATTAGCTACTTGTAATGCTTCGAGAGCATTTCGAAAATGTTCGTGTGAAACTCGTTTTTTCCACATTTTTACCTCCAGAAGAAAGTTTTGTTTCGAGCAGTCGATTACTTTTTCATAGAAAGCAAACAATTCTTCAGTTTTTTTTCGTTAAAATCATACTTTGGAAACAAAACACTAAAATTATTTAAAACTGATTTATGGTTTAGGAACCGGCTTTTCAAATGAGCAATATATGTATCAGGGAAGGTAATGTAAAAAGCAATGCGATAGTATGCCTCGGCGTCTCCGGTTTTCACATTAAAGCGATTCTTTTGGCGACTGCTGTATCGCGGTACTTTGATTTCTGTACCTAGGTTGGTGCATACTTCTTCTACGTGTTCGAAAAGCAAATTAAAGTTTTTTTCTGCATCTTGTCGCATTTCTTCAAATTCCTTTAAAGCGTTGTCGGCTAAGCTCATTGCTTCTGCAAGATCTTCATCAAGTACTTGTAATTGCCGGCTAGCAAAGCAACAACAATTTATAAAAAAGCAAATTCTTGGCTGTTGTCGCTGTGCTAACAGTTTTTCAAACCCTGATAATTTCTATAGATATTCGCACGATACAAATAATTTTTACGGTATTTTCCCCGTGACAAATAAAATGTTTTTGACAATTGGAAGAAATACAACTTCGAAAGCCTTTTTTAAACGATTTTTCATTTTGCTACGTTAGAGCCGTTGCCGAGAAATTTATGGATACATATACATATACAAAAATATGCTCGTTTAAGGTAATTAGAGTAAGGGGCAAAATTTCCCGCAAATTCCCGAAATCGTTATCAAACTCGTCCTTGAATTCTTGTTCGTATTCGTGTTATTCTTCGTATTGGTTCTCTTTTGCGTATTCGTCTTTATATATATTTGTCTCCCTACTCGCGTTCGAATCCGTCTTCGTATTCGTGTTTATCTTAGTCATCGCATCGGTCTTCGAATTTGTCCTCGGTTACTCTTCGTATTTGTTTTCGTATTCGTATTTGTCTTCGTTTTCGTATCCCCTATATGTAAATATATATATATATTAAGAATGAAACCATTTCTTGAAAATTATGACATTTATTGTGATTTTTAGAATAGCCTTCCCTCAAAACTTTTTCTATGTTAATTAAAAACTTGTTTGCTTATCCTGTAAAATAAGAAAAAAAAATAGTTCCTTCTCATCTTACTNATGTTAATTAAAAACTTGTTTGCTTATCCTGTAAAATAAGAAAAAAAAATTGTTCCTTCTCATCTTACTCAAGGAATTTTTTTTAAAGAAACATATCGTTACCTAAACGTCAAAAGGAGCCAAGTCCATATTTGAATTTTTTTCAGGAGAGACGAAAAATCGATGTAGGTTCGCATTATCTGTCATTCTGCATCGAATACTAACTTTAAAAAAAGGGGACTGGCACCTTTAGGTAGCGATATGAACATAAATTAAAACGAAAGTAAACGTCTGGTGCTTAAGAATCTTAAATATTCATTCAGTCTCAAGTCATTGGGGTAGAACGTCCCTCCGATGCTTTTTCGAGCGGAGGTATTGAAGTTAAACGAAGTCGTTCCTCTGTTTAATTAACAATTAAATATACTACAGCTTTTGGAAATCTGGATATGCTTTGAATCTGGAAAAAAGATAATAAAAGGAAAACCTTCAAAGCATTATCTTTTGCTTACAGGCGATAGCTCTTCTTATTTGGCGCAGTAACCGCTTAAGCGATTCTGACCGGGTTTAACAAAGAACGCCAGTCGTTTCTCTTCTGTGCCAACTAATGCCAATTGGAAATGACAAGTCCTTCTCACTCGATCTTTCCATCGCAGTGGGGGCCTCCCTCTTCCTTTGATACCACCATTGGGTTCCGAGTTGAATACTTTCAGAGCTGGAGCGTCAGTGTCCATTCGAACGACATGACCAAGCCAGCGGTGCCGCTGTATGTTAATTCGCTGCACTATGTCCATCTCGTTGTAAAGCTAATACAGGTTATCGTTCCATCTTTTGCGGTACTCGAAAATCTTACGCAAAATCTTTCTCTCGAAAACTCCAAGAGCCGCCGCTTCGGCTGTGTTCATTGTCCATGCTTCTACGCCATAACCAACACGGGCATAATGAGTGACTTATATGCCTAACGTACTAATTCTGGACATCAGTTACTAGGTCTCCAATCTTGTTCTTACAAGAATTCTCCCTGGTCTTGAAACCTTCCGTAAGTCGCCCGACTCTCTGGTAAAATTTTCGGGCGTTTTTCCTATCGGCCAGCATTTCAAGTTCTTTGCATTCGCCTATTTCAACTTCTCTCTTTTTATTGCGGCAAATACGTCTCGCTTCCCTCTTCAGCTCTCTATAACGGGCTCCACATGACTCGCGTTGTGCCCTATCGCAGCGTTGTCATGTAGGCGACATCGTATTTTCTCTGCAGCTTGTTGTTTCGGGCTCGCTGAAATCCGACTACTTCTTCGGCGGCGGTACTGAATGAAGGGGAAATGTGGTTCTATTGCTCGCCTATGTCGGTTTGTTGAAGAGAGCTCTCTGAGAGCAGATGTGAGGGTCGAGTAGTGAATGCATTGGCCGTCTGTTGCGACTAGAGCTTTTCGCCGTAAAGCTTTACATGCATTTTTGGGCGCACATTATATGCTGCACAGAGGCGGGTGCATATTTTGGCTGCAAGAAGGTAGTGGTCCGAGTCGATGTTTGGGCCTCGAAGTGTACGTACGTCCAAAACACTGAAGGCGTGCCCTCCGTCTATCACAACAAGATTGATTTGGTTTCTCGTACTTCGATTTGAAGACAGCTAGATGGATATTTTTATGCTTAAACCTAGTACTGCAAACTATCGTGTTTCGGGCCCCAGCGAAGTCGATCTCTCTCAGTCCGTTATCGGACGTTTCGTCGTAGAGGCTGAATTTTCTGACAGTGACGCCAAAGGTTTCTTCCTTGCCCACCCTGGCATTGAAGACGCCAAGCATTTTTTGTTATCACTGTGGGGGCGCCGGAACGACGGAATTATCCCTTAACTATCGCCTGGTTCAGGTCGCCTGCACTTCACTCCACCTTAAAAAAAAAATAAAAATAAAAATTGAACTGAACTTAGCACTAGTGCAGATTTTTCTTTAAAACACTTTATTTTAGTCATCTAATTTTACTAGCACAGGTTATTTAACTCTACAGCAACTGGCGATAGTTGCCATTCGTAATACAAATTTCGCTTTCAGTTGCGTGAATCTAAATTTAAATAAAGGAAGAAAAGAAAAAGAAATTGCGCGCCAAAACTTAACCATCTGAAAATGTCAAAATGGCGTAAGTTGCAAGTTTTTACTAGTTCTGCGTTAAATAATTGTTTCTGTTAATTTTCTCTTCTCTCAATTTTACTCTCTATTTGTCTTTTACGCTCTCGCTGCAAAAGTACTTACTGGAAAAGTTATTGAATGGACCTAGTATAAAACGCTTAATACCCAGAAATATGAAAATGGCAGCATCTGCGACTTAACAGTGCTCTGTCGTTTTTGCTCGTTCGTCTGTGTGTATTAGTTCGATAGTTATGCGTGTGTTACTTCCGCTTTCGACAGAAAAACTTTTCTACCCGCATACATGTGCGACTACAGTTAGTCGTTTTGAATGTACAAATGTTTGTATGTGCTGAAGATATTTATTAAATCAGAATCGAACGATTGTCGAACAGTTGTTGATCGTTAAATAAACGAAAAGTTTACTTGATTGCAATGGCGACTGTGATGATCGTCGACTCTTACTTACACATCCGTACATAAACTCTCAACCAATATTGACAGATTCAAAGTTTTAATTGTAAATTGCAGTTTTTGTACAAACTTAGTTTTTTTAAATAACCTCCTAGTACAAATAAAATTTGCGTTCGTAATTTTAGTTTGGAACGAATATATTAGAGCTCTTCTCTCGGTTCCTTACGTAAATTTTTTAGATAAAAAAGGGCAATGAAGATGCAGCGTTTATGCTTTTGAAACCAATGGTTTCGGCTGAGCTCTGCATTCCAGCCACCACAGCAAATGTAGTACGAATATTTTTCAAAATCTATTTGAATAGAACAAAAATAAGAAACAAACTAGAAATTCCAGCACTCTCTGTATTTTAAGAACTCAAGATTTCTTAAAAAAAAGCTTGAGATTGTACTAAATTTGAAGTATCGAATCAAATGAATAAAAAAATTAACAAAGCAAGTTACATAAACTTATGAACCTTAATTTCTTTGATTTAAATGTTGCAGTAATAAAGTCTGTTTTATTTTAGTTAAATAAAGTCTACATTGTTCATGTTATTTTAATTGAAATTAATTATTTTTTGTTGTTTATATTTAGTAAAATTTAAAACCCTTCATTTTAAAAACTCTTACTTTTCTTAAGATGACAGTTTTTTTGGTCGAAAATCCATAAATTTTTGGAAATTTACAGCTTTTGAAAAACAATCTGGCAACACTGATCTCAACTCACAATCGCACACGCTATGCTGCTGATCACGCAATAACGATGCTGATCGCCTTGAACGGCGCAAAAATTTTATTGCTTTTCTTATGAAAACATACTTATGTATGTAAATAAATATCGTCGTTTAAAGTACAAAACCGCGTATACATAAAATACAAAACCGCGTATCAACAAAATGCAAAACCGCGTATCAAGATAAGGCAAAACCGCGTATGTGAGGTTGCATAAATTATTTTCTAGAGAGTAAAAACACTCATATTTCAAAATGGTTCCCTTTTTTATAAAGCAATCGCATTTCTGGCTAGCATATTTCAGGAAGAATGGATAAGGATTAAGCCAAGAGCTTGTGTGAGCAAAATAAATTTTTGGCAGCCAATGTCAGTTACGCGGTTTTGCAGAATGACGATACGCGGTTTTGTACTTTACACGACGATACGTTTGTGCGCGCGTGTATGCGCTTAATAGTTGTCTGTTGTTTTTGCTGCTATCGGCATTGTTGACAACATTTAGCGCTGGTATTTTATTTNCGCGGTTTTGTACTTTACACGACGATACGTTTGTGCGCGCGTGTATGCGCGTAATAGTTGTCTGTTGTTTTTGCTGCTATCGGCATTGTTGACAACATTTAGCGCTGGTATTTTATTTGCGCTGGTATTTTATTTGCGCTGTTAATTTTAACCAACTCTGTTTCTATGCATAACTCGGCTATCTGCTGACTAAACTCTGTTGCTGCTGCTGCTTTGTTCAATTTTAGTTCATTAGTTTTAAATTACGAAAACTGAAATTCTGTTGCTCTCAGCGGCGCAATATAGTACAATCCGGAAGATCTACATAGTACATACATACATGCATTTACGAAAACAAATCACCATAGAAACATATTACTAGCAGCTGTACTCGTTGCTCTGGTGGTTTGGATAAGCATGAGTAACAGTGTTGCCAATTTAGCTGTTTTCCGGCTAGATTTAGCCGGTTGCGATAGCAAACAGCCGAATAAAAGTCGATTTAGCCGGCCGCCAATCCGGTTTGCAAAAGTTAGCCGTTTTTAGCCGATTTCGCTATTTGCCGTATTTTATTAAAATTCAAATGTATTTGTTTCTATTTTTACAAATTTGGCGACCTATTAGAAACTGCTAGCCGTATCTTGGAGAAATTTTTCTTGTCGGACTGTGTTAAGTATATAAAATTGAACAAATTTCCTCTAATCCGAAAAATCTTAAAATACTGGGCGGATTTTAATAATTTATATTTTATATTAATATATAGTGACCCAAATATGAACTGGGACGCGATATTTTAGCTTATTATTTTTTTAATGAAAGTATAGCTGATTACAAAAACACCATTTAAATCCAAATTTCATATTTTATGCAAAAATTATAAA